ATTTATGTGTGTGTTTTATTGATTTTTTAGAAAGAGGGGAAGGGAGAGAGAAATAGAAACAACTATGTGAGAAAGAAACATTGGTCGACTGCCTCCTGCACGCCCCCTACTGTGGATGGAGCCTGCAACCTAGGCACATACCCTGACCCGGAATTGAACCGGGACCTCTCTGTCCATGGGACAACGCTCAATCCACTAAGCCACACCGGCCAGGCCCATTTAGATATTTATAACATCATTTGTGGGCCATACAAAATTATCAGCTTAAAACTTATTATGCTATATTTGGTCAGGCTAATTTGGTGAGGCTTGTGATATTAACTGGTACTGATTTCTCAGGCTTTATACGACCCAAGGGCCAGACATTCCCCACTCCTACTAGGGACAGGAAGACATGTAAAACTTTGTTTGCAAATTGGAAGAAAAAACCTGTTCAGGACTAAACTGAGAGGTCCTTGGTTGCTGATAGAATCTCCCTTTGACTTCAGACTTTAGACAAAGGAAGGAGATTGTTTTATTCAACACAAATGTTTATTATTATTATTATTATTCTTTTGGAGAGGGAGAGGGAGAGAGAGAGAGAGATTTGTTGTTCCATTTATTTATGAAGTCATTGGTTGATTCCTGTATGTGCCCTGACCGGGGATGGAACCCACAACCTTGCGTATCTTGACGAGGCTCTAACCAACTGAGCTACCCGACTAGGGCTAAAGAAAAGGAGACTTTTTGTCAGTATACAAAACCCACCAAACTTTACATAACCCCTGTTAGCCAGGAGAGATTAAGAAACTGGCGCATGCCAACTTGGATTGCAGGGGGCTGGCCAGTCTGCAGGGAGCAAGGCTGCTGGAGGCTGGAAATGGTGGGAAGTTTCAGCTCAAGCCCAGGGTCTGTAGATTAGCACAGCAGCTGAAACGCAGGTCTGGAGGCAGATGGAGAGTGCGTCCCTCCAAAATCCTGTTTTCCAACAAGTTCCAAGGTTACTTTCCTCAAACAGGATACTTATGTATTTTTTAATGAGATCATACCATAATGTATTTTTATACAAGTAAATTGGTAACATCTTTCCACATCAATAGTTACATTTCTGTAATGTTATTTTAATCACAACACAGGATTCTTTGGTATGGCTGCACCATCCTTTATTTAATTGGTCCCCTATGGTGAGACATTCAGATTGTTTCAACTTTCCTTTATTCCAAACAGCACTGCGATGAACATATTTAGAGTTCAATCTTTGCATGTTTTCTTAGTTCTTTCCCCAGGATAGACTATCAGAAGTAGGATTATGATGTTTCCTTTAGCACAGTGCTGAGGTCATTGGTGTAGCGGGCGCCGGTCCAGGGCTTGGGAGTGTGCAGGATTCAGCAGAAGCCAGTACAGTGGAGTGTACCCCTCTCTCAGGTACACTCAAAAGCCTCATGATGGTTCAGCTAATTTCCCAAACTTGGTGGCTTAAAACAGCAGACATTTATTCTCTCAGTGTTGGAGGCCATAAATCTGAAATCAAAGACTCCCCAGGGCCACGCCCCCTCTGCGGACTCCAGGAGAGAATCCGTTTCTTGTCGGTCTCGGCTTCCAGGCCCCGGCATTCCTTGGCTTGTGCTGCAAACTGATATCTGCTTCCATCTTCACACAGCTTCTCCTCTTCCCTCTGTTTTATAAGGACTCTTGTCATTGGATTAGAGCCCACCTGGATAATCCAGGATGATCTCAGGTTGAGATTCTTAATTTAGTGACATCAGTCAAGACCCTTTTTCCAAATAAGACAGCATTACAGGTTCCAGGGGTTAGGGCAAGGGCATATCTTCTGGGAGGGGGCACCACTTAACCCACTGCAATGTTCTTCCAGAACATGGGGAGTGGTTTTCAAATTGGTGCACACACGCACATATGTTAGCTGTAGGGTCTCTTTTCAAATGCAATCTTTGCCCTGGCCGGTTTGGCTCAGCGGTTGGAGCGCCGGCCTGCGGTCCAGAGAGACCCGGGTTCGGTTCCCGCTAAGGGCACGTACCTCGGTTGCAGTTTGTCCCCGGCCCTGGTTGGGTCGTGTGGGTGGCAACCACTTGATGTATCCCTTTCACGTCGATGTTTCTCTCTCTCTCTTTCTGTCTCTCTCCCTCCCACTCTATCTGAACAAAAACAAAAAATGTCCTCGGGTAAGGATAAAAAAAAAAAGCAATCTTTGCCCTGGCCAGTTTGATTCAGCAGTGAGAGTGTTGACGCAAGTGAGTCGTGGGTTTGATTCTGACCAAGGGCATGTACCTCGATTGCAGTTCCTCCCTGGCCCTGGTTGGGGTCGTGTGGGAGGCAACTAGTTGATGTGTCCCTCTCACATCAATGTTTCTCTCTCTCCTTTTCTCTCTCTCTCTCTCCCTCCAACTCTATCTGAAGATAGAGAAATATCCTCAGGTGAGGATTAAATAAAATGTAATCTTTTGTGGAACCCTAGTATGTAAAGCGATCGAGTTGAGCTGCGTGGCTGAGGCAGGGTTTAGGAAGGTGCAAGAGCACGTACAAGGTCAAAGACCGTGGGTTGAAGGGATTCAAGTAGTCAAGTCCTTGCTGTCCCTTTAAGGAGGTTAGAGGGAGGACCAAGTTGTACTTGCTGTTCTGGGGGAGAAATTCTCCGCCCCTCCCTTCTGGGTCTGGGTCTCAGCCCACACAGGCCCCGTCCGCTTCGGCACCAGGAGCATCGGGCCCCAGAGGAGTTCTGCACATGATCTGCTGGACGTGTGCGGGGAGCACACGGAGGTCCTGATCTCCGCTTTCTGAAAAGCAAATCATTCACATATCTCAGCAAAAGTCTGTAGAGGACATTCCTAAGGTTCAGTGGGAGGAAAAATGAGTTGCTTTATGAGCTCTTTCAGCATGTTTCTGGACTGTTGAATGTTACAATATGCTGCAGTGTTATAACCTTATCTATAAACTGGGCCTGCGTGTCAAACACAGGCCGTCCCTGAACTCTCAAACAACCGTGTTCCAAAAGTTCATTTGTAGGTGAGTTATTTGCAACTCGGAGCGCCTTTTTCCCTCTGTGCCTTTATCTTCACATGGTGTTCTCCTTGTCTGCCACTGTGTCTCTGCCTATAAAGACATCAGTCATTGGAACCAGTAGATTATGATTCACCTTAATGACCTTGTGTTAACGTGATTACATCTGCAAAGACCATATTTCCAAACAAGGTCACATTCACCAGTACCAGGAATTAGGATTTCAATGTATCCTTTGGGAGCGGGGGGCATGTTCAACCCATAACAGAAGGCATATAATCTATCACCCTACCCCAAATAAAAATATATTCGACAGTGGCCATGGTGCGTAACCACAGAGCCTCTGCTTAAACACGGCCAATGGTGGACAGGGAACCCACCCTGTTTTGAGGTTGCCCCAGTTATGAGCTGCCTCACTCCTTAATGTGATCTGCCTCTCTAGACTCTGGCCTACTGATCCCAGTTTTCCCTTATGAAACGACGTAGAATAAATTTAATCACTCTTTTTTTGTTTGTTTGTTTGTTTGGTACATGCCCCTGGTGAGAACCGAACCCAGGACTCTGGTCCTCAGGCCAACGCTCCAACTGCTGAGCCAAACCAGCCAGGGCAATTTAATCACTCTTGACAAATCCTTTCATGTGTATGAAGGCCTCCCAGTCAGCCTCCAAATATGTAAGGCTGAATTCTCCAGATCTTCGTGTGACACAGCTTTGAGTCCCTGTTAGGATTCTAGCCACTGAACTCTGCCTGGACACTGGTCTAGGCCAGCGAGTTTCAACCTTTTTCATCTCGTGGCGCACATACACTAATTACTGAAATTCTGCAGCACGCCAACAAATATATAATATTTTTTGCCCATCTGACCAAAAAATAAGTATAATTTTGATTCATTCACACCAGACAGCTATTATTGTGTTGGCTGTTGTCATTTTTTAAATTTGACAATCTAAGGGAAAAGAGGTCCATGCCCCTGACTAAATAGTCAAGTATTGAGTGTTTTAAAAATTCTGTCCTGGCCGATTTGGCTCAGTGGTTGGAGTGTCGGCCTGTGGACCAATGAGTTGCGGGTTCGATTCTGGTCAAGGGCACGCACCTTGGTTGCAGTTCGACCCTGACCCTGGTTGAGGTCATGCAGGAGGCAACCAGTCGGTATCCCTCTCATGTCGATGTTTCTTTCTCTCTCCCTTTCTCTCCTTTCTCCCTCCACTCTGTCTGGAGATAAATAGAAAAATATCCTCGGTTGAGGATTATAGAAAAGAAATTCTTGTTGCACACTGGTTGGAAATCGCTGGTCTAGGCCCACTTTAAGGGACTTCCATGACCAACTGCTCACAGTACAGGTGTGGTCTGACAGGTGGAGGAATCAGTGGCTCCATTTACCACCTGGGGTTTGAGTATTACCCCTCTACTGAAAGCTAACATTGTGTTGAGATTTCTGTTTTGCGCTGGGTGATTTGGGTTGTGTTTGCTTTGCAGAGGGCCGTAGAACTTAGTGGTTTGGCTAGACTGTCTGCTCAGATCAAGTTTGCAGGCAGCTGAAATCTCTGAGCTTTTCCATAACAATTCCTCTTAAAGAACATCTCCCATTCACTCCTGCATTTCCCTTTGTGAGCCTCCTGCACATTGATTCCTACTAAATGGCATGTGGTTGCTCTCGGTCCTTCAGTGCAGCTCACTTAGTCTCTTGTGAATCTGACTCTGCAACTCCTGCATAGCCATCCCACCCAACAGGGGTCAACTGCCTCCCAGCAGAAGAGAAAAGGAAAAAAGACAACCAGTATTTATAATATTTATTAAGTCTCTGCGGAGGCAATCTAGACAGTTGTTTCTAACTTTTTCATTGACGTCAACACACACAGAAAAGTGCAGAAACATAAACATACAGCTTGATGAATGATCACCAAAGAGATGCCTGGGTAACCACCCATGGCCAGAAAGAGAACAGTAAGCTGGGAATGTTTTAATATGCATTTTTCTCTTTGATTCCTCAGACCTATTTGGTAATTATTAGTAAACCTGGTTTACGGATGATGAAACAGACTCAGAAAGGTGGATTGGCGTGACCAGCATCCCACAGCTGAGAAATAATAAAGCACAGACTGACTCCCACTGCTGATGCTGGACCTGGAGAAGGAGGGATGTGGCCACCTGTCCAGATGAGGTGGGTAGAAAGGCATCCTGAGCAGAAGAAACAGGAGAACAGGTGGGAGGCAGGGCCTGGGGCCAGGTAGTTCAGCCTCCCTGGAGCACAGGGTCCTGGGAGGAGAACAGTGGTTGGAAATCGGGCCAGAGTTGGTAGATAGGCTCACAAACCTGGATGTCATTCCATATCAGTGGAAGAGCCACTGACGCTTTTGAGAACTTTGTTTTAGAATTAAATAACTCATTTTAAACTGTAAGATCCTACCAGGACGACCCTACCAGGTTGGCAGAAGGTTCAAACTCCTATTCCTTAATGAAGGTTTCTGGAAGTCTTGGAAAGTTGAGATCTTGGACTTCAGGGAATTTGATTTTTTCAGGTTAGAAGGAGTAGGAGGGAATGACGAGATAAGCCCTGAGGAGGCTGGCCAAGCGCAGCCCACGGCTCAGGAAGGCTGACAGCAGGTCTGTGCCTCCTGCCAAGAAGACCGTGGCTGCTATAAGCTGAAAATTGGACATATTGTCGTAGCCTTTCAGGTAAACGACTAAAGTGGTGCTAGTAAAGGAAAATGTCAACCTTCAGCCAAGTCTCTTCAAATTGATACCAACCAGTGAACAGGCAAGATGTATTACAGCAGCGTGTGCACGAAGCTGGGCCACATGGCCGGGGGCTCCCATAGTGACCGGTTCTCTTTCAGCCAATGTGGAGATTAGTCACTTTCCATGCAGATTGAAGAACTGACCTAACAAAGGAAAGAAATAAACAGGCATTTCTTTGACTATGCAAAACACAGGGACCAGTCACACAATAGTTCTGGTGTGTTTAACAGTGTACAAACTGTGGGAGTGAGTGAAGACCAGCCAAAGGAGAACAAGCGAAGGTTATTTATCCAGAGCTCGCTACAGCGAGGGAATCAGCCACTGTCACGCAAACTTGGCAGAGACTCAAAGGCAGGCAGAGCAGAGGGAAGGCTGCAGGTGCGCCTGGTGGAGGCTGCAGGTATGAAAGCTGGAGGCAGCTAACTAGACGTAGGATGTCCTGTGTGATTGGTTAGGGACGCGTATTTGGCTTTCTCTGGTTGGTCCTAAGTTGGAAGCAGGACAAAAATGAAAGAAGCTGTCAGTTGTTCAGCAAGTCCTGGCCATTTGAGGCTAATTGCTATAGAAGTTGTTGCTTCCTGGATTGTTACTAGAGATAGAAGTTTGGTTTCTCATAAGTCTGACATAATAGACTGGCTTCCTGGGCTGTTTATTGTAGATAAGGGGTTGATTTCCTGGGCAAGTTGCTATAGGTTGTGAGTTCTAGTTTGATATGTAGTCTGGCCATCATCTATTTATATATTCAGTCTCTCATAATGAAGTAGGTGAAGAAATTACTGTTTTTTAAGGAGTGGGCAGGGCAATAAAGCATATGAGTGGCTCTGGGAGAGCACTGCATGATGGGAACCGTCTTTGAGAAATAATACAACTTGATTTTTCTTTTCCTTTTTTTCTGTTAATCATCACTGGAGGATGTTTTTCCCATTGATTTTTAGAAAGAGTGGAAGGGAGAGAGGGAGGGGTAGAGAGAGAGAGAAACAGTGATGTCAGAGAAACACACTGATTGGTTGCCTCCCACGTGTACCCCAACAGGGGCCTGGGATCAAACCTGCAACCCAGGTACATGCCCTTGACTGGGAATCAAACCTGTGACCCTTTGGTGCATGGGCCAATGTTCTAACCACTAAGCAACACGGGCCACTGCAGGTAAATGTATTTGTAAACATATATAGGAGCAGAATTGGATAATAGAGAAATTCCCTTCCCTTGGGTGGAGAATGTCTGTCCATTGTTATCACAGTAATTTATAGCTTTCATGGTATTTCAACTCAAATTTCAATGGAAGTTTTATGCAACTTTTTTTTAAGAAAGAGAGGTCTAGGGTTAGAGAAATAATCTAACATTTTAAAATATATTATAAAGCTATAATAATTTGCAATGTATATACTTTATATTATAATACTATGTAATACATGCTATTAGATTTTATAATGTAGAACAGTGTGATAATGGTATTCAACTAAACAGACAGATCAAAGGAATATCATGTAAACTTCAAAAATAAACTTTATTGCACAAAAAAGTTAAATATATGATAGACATTTCTTTGGGAATCGATAGGTCATTTGGGGAAAATCCTATTAGCTAGTCACCACAAGTCTACACCAAAATAAATCCCAGATGATTTAAGATTTTAATATATATTAAAATATAAAAAAGAATAAAATGGAATTAAATCAGTAGTAAACACCTGGATAGAAAATAATATTCTATACTAAATGCAATTAAAGAAATAAAAAAATGAACAGATTTTGCTAGGTACAGTATTAAATTGCTGTAGATCAAATATGAAAATAAACCTCTCTGGCTGGTATGGCTCATAATGGTTGGAGCATCCTTCCATGCACCAAAGGGTTGTTGGTTTGATCCTGGTCAGGGCACATGTGGGTTTGATCCCAGTCAGCGGGCGTACAGGAGGCAACCAATTAATGTTTGTCTCTTACATACAATCAGTTTCTCTCTCACGTAGATGTTTCTCTCTCTCTCTTTCTCTCTCCCCCTTCCTCTCTCTCTAAAATCAATAAAAGCATATCCTTGAGTGAGGATTAAATAAATAAATAAATAAATAAAACCGATAACCAAAAATAAAACACTGACAGACTGAATATGCAAATAACAAATGTGACACAAAGTTAAAAGCCTTTTCATAAGAGTTCATAAAGTCAAAAAGAAAAACCACTAAGACCTTACCCCTTAAAAAATACACAATCTAGCCCTGGCCGGTTTGGCTCAGTGGTTAGAGTGTCGGCCTGAGGTCCAGAGAGACCCGGGTTCAGTTCCCGTTAAGGGCACATACCTTGGTTACACTTTGTCCCCGGCCCTGGTTGGGTTGTGTGGGTGGCAACCACTCGATGTGTCCCTATCACCTCAATGTTTCTCTCTCTCTCTTCTTCCCACTCTATCTGAACAAAAAATGGAAAAATGTCCTCGGGTGAGGATAAAAAAAAAAATAGACAATCTAGTGAATAAAATTAGTGAACATATACATGGAAAGATGATCAAACATAGTCGTCAAGGAAATAACAAATTCTTTGTCATTTTAGCCAATTAATTTTTAAAAACCAATTAATATAAAATTTCATTTGTCTTAAAAATGAAGCAATATTTTTAGATATCTGTCCTAAAAAGAAAATAGTGCTAAAACCTGAGAAAGTCTTGATGCACACAGTAATACATGTTGGCAAAAAGCCAACATGTAAATGAACGAGCAGATGAACTCCCAAGAGAAGCTTGGTTAAGTTAATGGAATACACCAGCTCAATGGCAGAATAGACATCTATTTAACTTATTTTATTTAAAAAACATGTAATGAAAAATTGATTTTTTGTTAAGAGGAGACAAAGTCAATGGTGTGTTACCCCTGGAATATTCCCAATGCTTAGCACAGTGGCTGATCCATAGCAGAGATTCAATAAAAACTTGGTAAATGAATGAAAACTGTACACACACAATATGATTTTTGACCATGTGAAACCAAATCTACTTATAGGGGAAAAAAAGAAAAGAAATATACATAATGGTAGGAGTATCACCTCTTTTCTTTCTTTCTTTTTATTTTTTAAATTAATTTATTTTTATTTATTAATTTGTTTTTGTTACAGTCACCTCTTTTCTTCTACTTTTCTATAGAAGAAATGAGGCACTGTCCCAAATATTGCATGAAATATACTTGTTGTTGTTTGTCAAACTCCAGACATACGGGGTATCCTATATTTTTATTTGCTAAATCTGGTAACCCTACTAGACATCAGATGTGATATCCTTACAGTTACTTTTTAATTATAGTTAATTTTTGAAGTCTGTTGCACTGAGCAATTTCCTTGATGAGCATTTAATACAAAGTATGTGGTTAGTCCAGCTGGTGTGGCTCAGTGGTTGAGCATCGACCCACGCACCAAGAGGTTGCCAGTTCGATTTCCCGGTCAGGGCACATGCCCAGGTTGTGGGCCAGATCCCCAGTGGGGGATATGCAGGAGGTGACCAACCGATGTTCTCTCTCATCATTGTTTACGTCTGTCTCTCCCTCTCACTTCCTCTCTCTGTAAAATCAATAAAGGAAAAAAAAGTTAAAAACAAAACAAACTATGTAGTTATTTTTCTCATATATAATATGTGTGTGTGAGCAAGCACACATGCTCATATGATCTGTCTGTATAGAGAAAAAAAATCACCTCAAATTCCACTAGCCAGGTAACCATCACTTACATCATACTGAAGGCATTCTATACATATTTGCGCATATACATTTATGCATGTAATTTTGCATGCATGTGGAATCATACCATATATGCTTTCCTGTAATCCTGCTCTTTGCTGTTTACATTTTTCTTGACTGCCAATTTCACTGCCTACCCAAATCTTACTTCCATAAAATCTCATTTACTTACCATTCCCAGCGGGGACACCAGTACACGGGCTACATATGCAAATGATTAACTAGTAGTTTGATGTTTTTATGGCAAACCACATAGTGAGGGCTTACAGGGGGCCTCACTTGAGAGGGATAGTCTACAGCCCATTATTTCAGCCCTCAAGGAGTCTTGAAACAGACACACAATTTTGTGAGAAATACATTCATGTTGATTGTATTTACTTAGTTCATCTCACTTTACCAATACAGTTTCAGAAACTTTCTAAATAGGAAAACATGAGACAATGAAGATGGCTATTTGGGAGAGATGCTGATCACCCAGTGCCATCCTGACAGCTGAGTGCAATATTTATTGAGCAGCCCTGGCCGGTTTGGCTCAGCGGTTAAAGCATCGGCCTGCGGTCCACAGAGACCTGGGTTCAGTTCCCGCTAAGGGCAAACACCTCGGTTGCAGTTTGTCCCCAGCCTGGTTGGGTTGTGCAGGAGGCAGCCACTCGATGTGTCCCTTTCACGTCGACGTCTCTCTCTCTCTCTCTCTCTCCCTCCCACTCTATCTGAACAAAAAATGGAAAAATGTCCTCGGGTGAGGATAAAATATATATACATATATATTTTTTGAGCAGCTGCTATCATCCAGGCACAGAGTTAGACACACAAAGATGATGAAGGCCAAAAAAATGTGCCCCTCACGCAATATAAAATGAGTTAGATGGTCATCCATGATTCTACCACTCAGAAATACTGCTATAAACATTTCAGTGTATGTCACTCCAGATACCATGAAAGCCAACACATACGGAGCGCTTACAATGTGCTGAGTTTGTTCCAAGAATTTGCTGTTGGCTCATGTAATCCTCAAAATAGTATGATAGGTATTGTTCTTGTTTCTATTGTACAGATGAAGAAACTGAGGCAAAGAAAGATTGTTTAACTTGCCTCAAATTACACAGCTAAGTGGCAGGGCCAGTGTTTGTCAGTAGATGAGGGATAGCCTGGCTGGTGTGGCTCAGGTGGCTGAGCATCAGTCATCCCAGTCACCAAGAAGTCGCTGCTTAGATTCCCAGTCAAAGTACATGCCCTGGTTTTGGGCCTGACCACCCACTAAGACGTGAGCAGGATGCAACTGATTGATGTTTCTGTCTCATAGATGTTTCTATCTCTCTCTCCCTCTCCCTTCCTCTCTTTCTAAAAAGTCAGTAAAAACATATTTTTTTTAAAAAGCCCTGTCCGGTTTGGTCCTGTGGTTAGAGCGTCGGCCCATGGACCGATGAGTCGCAGGTTCGATTCCAGTACCTTGGTTGCAATTTGTCCCCGGCCCCAGCTGGGGTCGTGCGGGAGGCAGCCACTGGATGTGTCCTTTTCACATTGATGTTTCTCTCTCTCCCTCTCTTCCTCTCTCTCCCTCCCACTCTATCTGAACAAAAATGGAAGGAAAGTCCTCGGGTGAGGATTAAAAAAAAAATGTATCTGAAACACAGATGCTAGCCCTGGCCGGTTTGGTAGCAGTTGGAGCATCAGCCCATGGACCGAAGAGTCTCACATTTGATTCCCAGTCAAGGGCACATACGTGGGTTGCGGGTTCAATCCCTGAGCCCAGTAGGGGTTGTGAGGGAAGCAGCTGACCAGTGTGTCTCTCTTACATTGATATTTCTCTCCTTCCTTCCCTCCCTCCCTTCCTTCCCCTCTATCTGAAAATCAATGAAAAAATAGCCCCCGGTGAGGATTAACAAACAAATAAACAAAAAGAATAAATGAAAAAAAAAAAAAAAAGGTGCTAGATAGCTGGATCACATAACATTGTTGGGAAGACAGATTTTGAAGCAAATCAGTTAGGGTGTTTATTATGTGCTAATCGCTGTTCCGTTTTACATATATCGGTTTATTTCATCCACCAAGCCAGCATGCACAACTTGTTTCATCCAGAAATGTTCAGTGACCGGAAGTGATCATAAGGAACTTAAAGGGTGGTGGGATGCCAAGGAGACCCGGGACTGCCCTGCATTTCATCAGAGCTTCTGTCAGTGAGTCCACGGGGTTCAGCCTCACCCAAAAGCGTGATTGCTTAAATGCAACTTTTCAAGTCTGCTTTCTCCACCTCAGATTTCATGGTCATGACTGAATGAGCTGAGCTCTGAACCCATCTCCAGGGAGTGTCGGGCATGACTGATAAATACTAAGCACAGGTGAGCAACGGTCCCAGATTTGAGATGTATAATTTCATCCATAGAGCAGGAAAAAAACGTGAACAGTTTCATTCCAAGGCATGAGGTGGCTTCCTGTTGGTAGATTCTCGGTTGATGAGTGGGAACCTTATAGAACAAGGTTGTCAGCCTCGGGAGAAACGAGCATGTACTCAAAGAAAGGCTGTCCGAGAGGGGGCGCTGTACGGCTCCCGGAGTCCAAATTCACCCTGCGCGCAGACAGGCGCTCCACGACCGTGATTGTGCGAGGGCACAATTTTAATTTGCTCTCATCCTTTTGTTCCTTTTGGGCAAAATTAATCCCAGAGTTTATATTCACGTTAGAATATACATTTCAAATATACCTATAAAGCCATAGGCATAATGAATTCAACATGCCCACGTCTTAGTCATTCTGCACACAAACTGTGTTTCATGATTTGGTTCCAGCCTTCTTGGGATTTCCAGTAGGAACAGACTTCAGACTTCCGGGGACATGAAAAGGATGGTGACAAGAAGTTTCCAACACTGCTCCGTTTCAAACACTATTGCCCCGTAGCCAGAGAGTGCCAGAAGGTAAGTAACAAAGCCAGCGTGTGTCTGCGGTGAGAGGGTGGACCCGGTGCGGTGATCGGCAGGGGCCACCTGCCCTTGCTGAGCTCCGCCCCCTGGCCTTGGTGTGCCCTGTGAATTGTGACTGGTCACTGAGCACAGGTGCTGTGCACGGTTCTGCATTTCTTGGGATAGCCCCACCTGGCAGGTGCCTGAGAAACACATTCTTCAGAGGGGTCGGACTGGCCACTCATCTGCGCTCATTCCCGGGGAAAAAGGAGCGGCCTTCCTTGGAGTCCCAGCGTGCACAGGAACTTCAACAGCTCCGTGAGCTCAGGTTCCCCCAGGAGTGTTCTAGAAACTTTTTGTCTTGACCTCCCCTCCTCCAGGCCCCTCTGGGAGAAGCTTCCACGGGGTGGGCAGGGCCTGTTTACTAGGAACCCTAGCCCCAGATCGCCAGCCATCAGAGCCCATGTGCTTGCTCCAAAGTGGGGTTCACTCATTCCATTTCAAGCTGCAGGACAGTCTCGCCAATCTAGGGGAACCTTTAAGAAGTGGGGGCAGGGAGGGTCACATTTTGAACCTGGCTCTGGCTCTGCAGCTTTCTCATGAATGCCGACCGATTGTGCACGAATGTGGCCAGGACACATGCTTTTCGTTCAGAATGTTCACATGAAATGTAAGGATCTCTTGTTCCCTGTAACATTAGACGAGGTTTCAGAAAACAGGACCCATGCTGAAACCGCCGGCCAGCAGCGGGAGGCGGGCTGTCTTAGAAGCAGATGGAACAAAAGCTTGGGTTCCCGAGTTCCTAGGGTGAGACAAAAGGGCACGATGTCAACTCAGGACCACCCAGGGAAAATTAAATACAGATCAACTTTTGATGGCTTATGTTAACAGAGAGGAGATAGAGTTTTGATCTCGGGGAAAACAAACATCACAAACTTTACCCATAATCACTGTTTATCACATACCTACCCTAGAGTAGCAAGAACTGCTAAGTAGCCACAAACACACAAGTGGAGGCATTCTGTCACTCAGCCTGTGCTCCTTGGGCTGGAGAGCTGGTGGGCCACCAAAAGGAGCCTCAGGGTTTCCCAGCCATTGAACAAAGAGGATAAATGGGTCCCACAGGGGTCAACTCCCCTTTTACAAATCCTGCTTGGGACCAGAGGCCACCCTGGCTTTGCCCTGGAATGAGGGGCAGCCCACCCACCACCTGCCACCCAGCCTACCTGCCACAGTGTACTCTGTCACCCTGGGCTCTCTTTCACCTGGGGTTACAAGTGGAGTGACCCTTTCTAACTCCATTCTCAACCCAAATATTTTTTAGCTATTATTTTTAAATTATTATTACAAAAATGGTCACAAATAAAAGTAGAGAGCATGGTACAGCAAACCACAGATTCAATATTTATCAAGATTTGCCGCCCTGGCCAGTTTGGCTCAGCAATTAGAGCATCGGCCCACAGACCAGAGAGTGCCAGTTTCGGTTCCCTTAAGGGCACGCACCTCTGTTGCAGTGGGAGGGAGGGAAAGAGAGACAGAGAGAAATATCAATGTGATAGAGCCACATCGACAGGTTGCCTCCCGCACGACCTGACCTGGCCAGGGACGAACTGCAACCAAGGTACATGCCCTTGACCAGAATTGAATCCGCGAATCTTTGGTCCACGGGCCAATGCTCTAACTGCTGAGCCAAACCAGCCAGGGCGCCACTGGAGGATTTTAAGTAAGTTTCCGATCTGCAGGATTTTGGTTTGGGCATCTAAGTGGATGGTGCTAACATTTATTAAGATGGGAGAGATGGCCAGGCCAGTGGCTCACTGGTTGAGCGTCGACTCATGCATCAAGAGGTTCAATTCCCGGTCAGGGCACATGCCCAGGTTGTGGGCCCAGTCCCCAGTGTGGGGCATGCAGGAGGCAGCCAATTGATGATCTCTCTCATCGATGTTTCTTTCTCTCTCTCTCTCTCTCCTTTTCTCTCTCTAAAATCAATAAAGAAAAAATATTTTTAAAAAAAGAGATGAAGGAAAAACATGTTAGTGAGGGGGAAGATTAGGATGGATAAAAAGTTCTATTAGACCTCTAAAATTTGAGATGTCTATCAAACAGTCTTGGAGAAGTCCAGTAGGTTACCGAATTTATGAGTCTAGTGTTCAAGAGGAAGGTTAGAATTAGAGAGATAATTTTGCAAGTCATCAGCGTATGAATAACGTATTCATGAGACAGGATGATACCACCAAAGGCAAAAATATAGAGAAGAAAAAGCTGGGCGGGCTGTGCCAAAGGAACCAAGAAACGGTGGTGCTTCCGAAGGAAATGGTCCACCACTAAACGCCACAGTGAGACCAAGGACTAATCTCCGGTTTGGACAGATGAGGGTCGCTGGTCATTTTGACACCCGTCATTTAGTTGTGTGCTGGAGATGGACTCCAGGGGTGGTGGTTAAGTTCAGCAGAAACAGCAATTCTGGAGAACTTTTGCTGAGAAAAAAAATAGAAGCAAAGAATTGGGGCAGTTGCTGGAGGGGAAAGGGGGCTCAAGGATGTTGTTTGGGTGCTTGTTTTGTTAGTTTTAATGATGGGCTAGTCTCGGGTCTGTTGATGGAACGACCTAGCAGAGGGAGAAATTGATGAGACCAGAGACAGAAAGGAAGCTACTAGAACAAAGTCTCGCAACTACTTTGCAACCTCTTTTGGGGATGTTTAAGCACAGCGCTCTCTGAAATACGATGAAATGAAGTGTCTGGACTATTGAATGGACACTGAAAGCTAAGTGTGTGGAAGGTGGGCTGGGAGGGTGGGGTCAGATGGAGCAAGGCAGAAGGAAGGGAAACTAGATTCATTGGCAGTAACTGTGATGAGCAGACATGGGAACTTTGTGGTACTATTTTTTTTTAAGTTTTCAGTATTGATTGTCTTTATTTTATTTTATTTTATTTTATTTTTAAATTCTGGTAAAATATACATAGCATAAAATGTATCATTTAACCATTTTTTTTAAATATGTTTTTATTGATTTATTTTGAGAGAGAAAGGAAGAGAGAGAGAGAAATAACCATGTGAGAGAGAAACATCGATGGGCTGCCTCCCTCACACCCGAAACCCGGGCACGTGCCCTGACCCGGAATCGAACCAGGACCTCTCAGTCCACGGGACAACACTCAATCCACTGAGCCACACCCACTGGTCTCATTTAACTATTTTTTTAATGTACGATTCAGTAGCATTAACTACATTTATAATGTTGTGTAACCATCACCACCATCCACCCCGGAACTTTTTCATCTTCCCAAACAAACTCTGTACTCATTAAAATGTAGCTCCCATTTCCCTTCTCCTAGTTCCTAGTGACCTCTGTTCTACTTTCTGCTATGAATTTGCCTACCACATACCTCCTGTGAGCAGAATCATACAATATTGATCCTTTTGTGCTTGATTGATTTAACATGTTTTCAAGGTTCATCCATGATATATGTAGCCTTATTAGAATTTCATTCTTCTTTACGGTGGGACAATATTCCATCATATATTAGAAAACTCAAGGGGTTCGCTGCTTGAGGTGCTGTTCTATTCAAGATCAAGACATGGTTGTCATTCCTTTTATTTATTTGCAGCAAATAAAGGAGACAGAGGATTCGCATCTAAAGCTCTGTCTAGCTGAATGAAGGCTTAGCCATTGCTTATATACACAATTTGGTTGATTACATGTTGATTTCTTCTTGGCAGCTGGCTAAACTTATCCATCGGGTTATACTCAAGCTCATCAGGTTATCAGCTGCATCTGCAAAAGACTGTGCTACATTTTAACATTTAGTAAGAACAGCATTTAGTAAGAGCTGCCAAACCTTGAGATCTTTGTCTTTAGTGGTCAGCCTCCAAGTCTTGGAGCTCCTGTTTTTGCAGAAGGGAATCCGTTCTGGAGGACAGGGAAGGCGATGGGGAGTCCTCTTCTTATGACTGACTGCAGGGGGAGGAGTGCTGCCTTACTGCGGGGCCATGGTTGGGTGTAAATGCTGAACACGTTTGCCTGTAAATGAATCACCACCTCATTTAGATCCTTTTGAATCGGAACAGCACTTTCCCTCCTAAAATTGTGTTGCTCCGGAAAGAGTGAAAACCTGACTTTTCCAGGCAAAACCAAGTCATCTAGTAAATCACAATACTATGATCATTTGCTATTTTGGACATGCTAAAACTTAACACTTTAAACGCTGGAAGAAAAGTTCTCATGATAATAGACCGGGCTAGGAAAATTATTTGGAGAAAACAAGCAAAACAATGGAATGACAACAGTTTTTGTTGTCGTTGTTTTTAATAACCCCAATTTCCTGCACACTGCTCTACGGGAAACAAGATAGTCTCTCCTTTAAGGTATGAAAGTATATTGTGATCCAAAAATAATGGGTCTCAGCATTGTTTCAGCGAAGTTTTTCTTAAAATAGAATTTTGCTCTCCTTTTTAAATGTTATGATCTGCATGATTCTATAGAACTTAGTTCCGTTTACATAAATCATCCTGGAATAAAAGGCAATTTAGTGGCCCAAGGGGAAAAAGAAAATAAGTTCTTTATTAATATTTTTGGTTCTCTTCTGATTGCAACAAGCTAATACGAAGCCCAGGATAAATGGCATGATGGGTGAGGGGTTGTGGGGGAAGGTCTCAGACACAGAACAGCCTCATCACGAGCTTTCTTACTGCCAGGCACTGGTAAAGGTGGACCCCGTGGGGGAAGAAAAGAATAAAGCTGCGCACCCAAGACAACTCAGCTCACATGTCCTGAGGTGCTTAAGGAACAGCCAAGTGTAGAAAGAACAATGTCTAACATTGTGTAATGCAAACTTGAAGTTCTCTGAAAATTCAGGAAAGAGAAGGTCTGTGTGTTGGAGCACATGATTAAAGGTCTGAATGAATCTGATGTAGTTTGTAAATTGTGACTGTTTTAGCTACAAGTTATAGAAACTCAAGCTCACCCTGCTTTTAAAAGTAGTGGTCTGGGCC